AAATCTTGGGTACTGTTGGCGCGATCACCACTCTTCTCTGAACCGATGCGCTCGATGCGAAGGATATGCAGCCAAGTCCGCTGGCCACCACGATCGTATGCACGCCTCCTGTGCCTTCTACTAGCTACGTACATACTACGTCGCGAAGCATTTGTCTTGGTGTCGATCTCGTGACTCGAGTCGACGTCGAAGCGCGGTCAAGCACGGACGGAGGACGTGCAAAGGAGCTGTGCAAAGGCCATCAAGGAGGGTGGTACCCTTGCTCTGGCCCGATTCTTCTCATTCCTTCTTCAACCCGATGGCGCGACTCGTGGTGCTTCTCGTTCTTCTCTGGGCCTTCGTCGCAGAAGGCAGCCACGCATCCACCTGCGCGCTGTGCGCTCATGGTGGTGACTGCAGCAGTGCGTCCTTGGGCAAGCCCGGACACTACTGTGGCGCGTACAATACGACGTACGACACCCAAGAGTTGTGTTGCTGCGGCGAAAACGACGTCTGCGGCATCCCTTACGTCGACGGCCAATGCGAATGCACGACGATCGAGGTAGATCCAACACTTCGCAACAAATGGCTCCTGCGCGCAGCGCCAGAGTGCTTTGCCGTCGATGCTCTTATCTTTTTCTGCATCATGCTCGGCTACATCGTGTTCGCAATGTCGCTGCTCACGGGGCTTCCGTGGATCTACAAGGCTTGCCAGACCGCGATGATGGCACGCGGCGAGCAAAGCGAGGCGGTTGCGACATCAACTACTAGTACAACCGATGACGACGGCAACGCGACTGAAACGAGTACGTCAAAGCTCAACGGCCACGTTGTCTGAGTCCACGTGGGCTCCTGCCGCCAGCATAATTCAATTCAATTTGGGACTACAGATTGCATTCGAGTTGGTGCCAGTTGCACGAACTTTCCGAGCCAATTTGCCGTGGTTGACACATTGATAGTTTCGAAACGGCAAGGGGCTAGGGTCTGCTCCACCATCCCAACGGGCTTTTCATCGCTAGAAACACTCGACACAGAGTCAAGTCGACACTGCGTACCTTGCAATAGCTTCCAGCGACAATATGTTGTGCCGACGGGACACGACGATAAACCCACGCGGGCTTCTCGGGGGTAGGGGCACGAAGTTGCGAGCTGTCGTTTCATGCGTGCGTCTAAGCACTGCGATCGGTGCAGCTTCTGACGCCACGACCGCGCTCGCTGCCAGCAAAAATGATTGCTGTCCAGCTCGCGCATTGCTAGGTTCTTTACGGAGGCAAAGCCGCATCTTATATTGAGGACGGGGATTACTCGATGCGAATGCTCGTAATCGTAGAGTCGCCCACGCTCACAGTCACAGCGTAGTTTTTCGTCGAGCCCTCCGAGCACCCGCCGCAGTTGGGTCCCGTCGCGTCCTCGATAGCGTTGAAGTACTCGACCTCGCACGCGGTGACGTGGAATGTGTCGCTCGGGTAGTCGTACGCGTCGTAGCTCGTCAAGTCGCGCGCACAGAGCACCGGAAAATCGTTGTTTTGGTAGTTGACGGCGGCCGTGACCGCGTCATAGTAGACAGCGGCGTCGGCGTCCGTCACGACATGCCCATACGACGGCGCTCCTTCGAGCGGCACGCGGCGCGTGTCTCTCGTGATGGTCTGCAGCGTTGGGTCGCCCTTGAGCGGCGTGAAGATTGTGACGACGTAGAAGTTCAACGCTGTGCTGCACGTGCAGCTGCGGTCGGCGAGGCCTTTATCCGACTTGGAGGTGCAGCCCGCGACGTGGTAGCGGGTGTTGAGGCCCGCAACGACCTGCACGCTCACAGCCGAGATTTCGGTCGTGCACAGATAGTCGAGACGCGGCTTGGCGTAGCTGGCACGAGACGTCATGACGTCAAAGTACGTCGTGATCATGCCGTTGTCGACAGGCTCGTCGTTGTACCCGCCTTCGAGTTGCAAGCCGCGGAGTTGAGGGGTGTCGGCCGCGACTGTCGCCGCGAGGCAGCAGAGCGTCGAGAGGATGTTGCGCATGATAATTAAGTGTCCAATTTGAAAATGAAACTTGGCTCGTGTCAACGCAGCGACACCCTTGGCGGTTGACGCGTTGGAGTTGTTGAGGCTGCCGTTATCGATGATAAAATGACGGTGCTCGTTCGTTCTCTTCTTATCAAGAGATGCCAATTTGTCGTCGGTCGATTCGCAGTCGGTGGCGGAGATGCCGTAGGCTTGGATTTTGGCTTCCGTTCTCCTCCGAGCTCCACAACTACTGTACACTGAGCGGGCTCCATGGACCAAATGAAGAACTAGGTATTCGCTTGCCGTGGACCATCGGTGGGTTCATCTGGTATCGCATTTGCGTAACGAAGATATGCGCGAGATGAAATGACGTGTTGAGCGGTGCATTTGTGGTGCAAAGTTGTCACCAACACAGCCGCAAGCTATCTCCTCTTTTGTTTCTACTTGCTCCCACGACGGTGCACGCGGTGGCTCGTCGTCTTGGTCGAAGGCCGTCGCGTTGGGCTAAGCAGCTAGGTTCATAGTATGATGTCCAGGCGTCGTTGCCTTGGCTGCCGCTTTTTCGAAGGATTCGACGGCGCGAGATCCTTCAAGCAAAGAGGTGACAGAAGATGAACGGACGCTCGTTAATGCCCTACTTTCGGGTAATCGTCGCCGCCTCGGGTTCTTCGGAGAGTGCGCGACCCGTCGCTGCTACGCGACCACATCGTGCGCAAGGTTGCATGCGGACTGACCGATGCTTGGCGTACCTCCCACCATTGGCATGGTCCGCGACCCAGAGGCGTTCACTTTATCCGCAAATTGTCGATCGTTTCAAGGATTTGGCCTGCGTTGCCGGATAGTAGAGCAAAGATTCCTAGGCCGACATCAGAACGAGCTGCTCGCGCCACTCGATTCTCGATATGACGGTGCCACTGACGAGAGGAACGGCGAGCACGTGTAGCAGCCGACAACACGTGCTGCAAGAGAGTATGACGGACAATGGTTCGATCGCGCGTCTTGTTATTAGGGATCATACTTGTTGGTAATTGGCACGTTGAAATCCATGGGCGACTCGATGGCGCTGTCCGTCTCGTCCACGAGCAGCGTATTGGCAGTCGAGTCCCGTCGCGACGGAGTCTTGGTGGGGGTACGGTATTGGAGCCGCAAACGAATCGCCACAGCGCAACGGCCCGCGGCAGACACAACATAGACCCAGAGGCGCTTGCAATTTTGAACGCGACTCGGAAAGTCAAAGCAGCAGCCAAACAAGAAGAGGTTGAAGGCACCAAAGATGAGCGCGACTTCGAACATGTTGAGTAACGACCAAACGACGATTTCAAAGAGCGACTCTGGTGGCGTCACCGGTGTGCCGTCACGCAATGTTGCTGTGCACTCGCACTGGAGGTCGTCCGCGGGCTTGCTGCACGCTTGT